TAGAGCAGCGCTGATGTACATATTCACCCCTGAGTATGAAGAGATGTCATTCCCTGTACGGTCAAAAACAGTAATCAAAGGCTCAAAATGGCACCAGGTACAGCTGTCCACGTCACCATCATCCAACTACAAAAGTTTAGGAAAACACCTTAGTGATGGGGCACATCTTCCTGTCTCATGAATCTTTCTGTGGCTCACAGATGACAGCTCTGTTAGAGGATAGCTGTGGGCCTAGATGAGCCACACTTGCCCATCCTGCAGGGGCATTCCTGCCTCTCACAATTCTGAGGGCATAACAGCACCGTATGTTCTTCATCACAGTCCAAGAGCCTAATGCTAAACTTCAGGCTTATAATGAGAGATACCTGTGCTAGTCTGTGCCTCACCATGACAGTTTGAGTCACTGAAACCATGGGAACTGGAACTGGTCTTAGGTATACTCTTAGAGGCTGAGAGTATCTAAGTCCTAGCTGAGGAAACACCTTGATGAAGTGGTTCCCAGTTACAAGACCAGACTAGAAATTCAAGTTTAAGCAAAAGAACCTTCAAAGGCACAAACAGAATCCATAGCAAAATTTTAGTATCCTGGAATCACGTAAGCCCTACTAGAGACAGAAACAGTGAACTCTCTTCTCACTTCTTGCCCCAAAGCTCAGCAGTGCTGGAGTCTAACCATACTCAGAACTATGCTCACTGCTAAGACAATTCTCAGCATCATCTCAGACTCTCCAGCCCATATCTCCCAGCCAGCATTCTTCATCTTCCCATTGTCAAAATCTGAATTATTTCTCTCATTTATATGGTTTTATGATAGTTTTTCTCCTGTTCCATCTAAACTACTCTTTTCAAGGACAGAGATATTTACCATTCAGTATGTCTTCAACTACTTTTTCCTCATTATTTGCTTTGCTGAAGATCCCATCTCTACTTTGGGGCTCTAAGGGGACATCCAAAGATATAGACTGCATGGTGTATCTGGGAGACTATTTACCCAGAAAGTATCATCTTGTCCATAAAAGGCTCCAGACAAGGGAGTTGCAGAAGGAAATGAGCAGTGCCAGCACAAGGCACTGGGTTACTGAGGCTGCCAGTTTCTCCATCAAATCATACCAGGAAGAGCACACATGTCTGAAGGCACTTTTGTCTATTGTGTGTTGTCAGGGTTGGGATGCAGCAGTGGAGGGAACTTAAAACATTTTTAAGTGGCCAAAAGCCTCTCCCAACAGAGGGCTGCTTCCTGATCCCAGCAGCTTTCCAAATGCCCTTTCTGTCTTTCTGCAGGGCACAAGTTTTCAGTTTGGGGAACAGCCAGGGCTTCTCTGGTTGCAGAAAGTCCCTGCCTCCCATAACCCTACTGCCCACTCTTGCCTTGTGTCCATCCACTCCCCCTCCCTTCTCCAGCACCGCCCTCCCCACCTCCAGCCCGGGTGACGATCCATGAAGGCCCTCAGCAATATGTCACAGGAGTGATAATTACATCCCCCCGCTCGCATCATGCCGCCTGCTGCTGACCTCTCACCCCTCCTCTCTTTTAATCACCCCCTGGCATCAGTCACTGTGACAGGGCAGCAGCACTGGACACGTGACCTGTCAGCCCAGGAACATGACTTATAGGGCCCGGCTGGTGGACAAAGGGAAAGGAGATAGGCAGCATAAATCTCCAGTAGGAATAAAAGAGAGTGATGGGGCATTCTGCCGGGGGCCTGCGTTAGCAGATTCTCGGCCTCTTGTTATTCAGCCCAGAGTTATGGTGATGAGGAAGTGGCCGAGAGTGACACGCGCTGGTCCCAATCAACCTTGCAAAACCTGCTGAGACCTAGAGGAGCCTTAATGTCACACATGGCTGGAGAGCCTCAATGAGGTGGGTGAGGGCCAGGGAAGCAGCCAGAGCTGTCCCCAGCCACCAGAGGCATCTGACCAGCAAAAGCTTCTACAGTCAGCAAGGCACTAAGTCACACAGAACAAGGACCCTTCTTCATCTCTGCTCAGCACAGATGCAGCAGGAGTTGCACATCAGAGCACACACCATTGGCTCAGGATGCAGGCTTCTCCCTAACTGGCACATTCCTCCAAGCTTCCCACCAGCCTTCTGCTCACCTGCAGGCTGCTCTGTCATATATCTCTTTTCCATCTACTCCCTCACACTTGCCTGTTGCTTGTTAGAATGAAATCAGTGGTACATCAGTCAGCTGCTTCCATTATGAAGTTACAGGACATCTGGAGTTTCCACCAAGGATTGGTCCTCCATCACACCTCTGCTGGGACAGAATTGCTCCTCTTGGGGCAACAGAGACCTTTAACTTATATAGGGAGCACAGGAGGGAGTGTGTTTTTCCACTAACACCTATGTCAGGTGCTGTAGCAGACAAAGGGCACCAGGAAGATCCATATGGATCATCAAATCCATCCTATGACAGTCGCTACCCAGGTCATCTTGTTCCCCTCATCCATGTACTTCTCAGGAGGGAAAGTGGCACAGGAGAGCTGGTTTCCCCAGTAGAGCTGTAACCAGGAGGGATTTGGCTCCATAAACATCTGTATCTGAGAACTACCATGTCTTGGATGCTCAGAAATGTGAAAGCATTGGGGGCAGAGTGGAAATGTAGTGTGCAGACCTTTTACAGTGGTGTCCCATCTCCTGTGAAGCCAGTGGCTTCTCTAAACTTCAGGTTTCATTTGCATAGTGAAAACATCAACAAAGCCATCTACTAATGTTGGCTGTTCACTCTGTGCATAAGCACCACCTCTTGACCAACTCCTCCTACTGTTCCCTGAAACCTACAGACTCCAGCATTATGCCAGATATCTCATTTATAAGACAATTGCTAAAATGAGAGGTGCATCCGGACAGCGATGGGTGAAGGTCTGCTTGTGCCATTCCCTGAGTCAGAGCCTGCTTTTGTACACTAAGGTGTCCTCTCACATGTCACAGGTGAGGGGCCCCAGACAGGGTTGTACAAACCACACAGCTCAGTGCTGGTGCCACCACTAAATAAGAGAGCAAAGAAAGGTGCTGAGACTTTTCTCCTGGACCAAGCAGCCACATGAGCATCCTACACACATCTTACACCCTCCTCTCCCAGCAAGTACCCAGTGCTGCTGCCCTCCTCAGTTTCCCTACCAGTTCCTGCAGCCTTCCAGTCCCTGCACAGCGTGAGGCAGGTAAGGCTCTCTCCCACACAGAACAGACTTTATTTATTCTGGAACCTGAGGATTAGACTGAACAGGGCCCCACACTTCCTTCTCCATCCTCCCTGAAGGCTTCTTTTCCACTAGAAACCTCCTTTTGGGTCCAGGGGAAAGCCCTGAAGCCCTCAGCCTCCTCACCAGCTGGGTCCTACCCTCTGAGAGAGGAGCAGATCGCTTCCTACCCTCCTCCCCCACATCTGCCTTTTAACGATGATGGAAGCTGCTGTCAGCGTGCTGCGACAGTAATAAACACTCTTCTTAATAACACAGGGTGTCCCTCTTATTAAAATGAATAGACTTCAGTAGTAAAGCCAGGCTGCCTGCCTTGCAGTCTGGTGTGGACAGCAACCCTCAAGCAGAGCAGTTTATCTGCTGTAATTACTACAGCAGCTTTGGCTCCAGAACATTCCTGGTTACAGCACTGTACTGTACCCCCAGGCAGAGGCTCGGGTGCATGGAGATGCTACCAACACATGAGCACACAATGAAATGCAGGCAGATAATTGCCTGTGTGCCTGCAAACATGTACAGTAATCTCTGAGATGCAAGGACACAGCAGAGTAGGGCTAAATAGATCTACAGCCAGGCTTTTAGGCTTTCTAAATCCCACTGAAACCAGCAGCAGCAGCTGGTGTCACTTTCTGCTTCTCTCATACATAACAGGTATATTAATACACCTGTGCATAAACCACACTGCACTGAAAGCAGGTAAAGAAAGGCAAGTTCCTGGTCTGTGGGTGACAATCCTCTCTTTCCCCAGCTCACAACATATCTGGCAATTTTTCTAGTTCCCTGGTGGGTGCGAGGTGACAGGATAAATATACCCAGGTTTTATGTACCAGTGCACTATGTTAAAAAGAACTGATGTGGCACATCCCTTGTGTCCATCCTTTCTGGATCTTGGATCGCAGTTAATGTACTGATTTCTCTCTCTTTGGGAAGCTGTCCATTTCTCAAGCAACAAATTCGGACGATCTTTGTATTTCAAGCACTGACTCTCTTTCACCGTGCATACTGTGGCCAAACACCAAGTTTGGAATCCCCAGTACAGTGAAGGATATCATCTGACATAATGTTTTGCCAGAGGTTCTTTTGGAGGTATGTTTGCACTGGCTATTACACAGTGGCCTCCGTGCAAGAATTCTTGCCTGGGAAACCAAAGCACGCCCCTCCTCTGCAGATCTAGTTTGTGTTCATGTTCTTAGCCTTTACTAAGCTGGCTGATTCTGCAAATGTGCCCAATGTTGACCTGAGTGAGGCTATGTGTATGCAGACGAAAAGCTGCCCTAGGAACCATTTTTCTCCTTTTGATCTCTCTCAGAGATTATCCAAGGGAAAAATCTATCAGAAAGACAAATGACAGTAGCACATCTCAACATCCACTCTGCTCCTAATTCAGAGCAGTTCTCTGGGCTGCAGAGACCCAGCAAGACCAAATCTGGTCCACTGCATCTCACCCTTCCAGGAACAAGCACAGAAGAGCAGTGCACAGCTATTGCATAATTTCTCTCCCTCTTCACTGCATTAAGGCAGGTTTCCACGTCACTGTCACCATCAGGCCCCACACACTCACAGGATTCCAGCATTCCGAACACCTAACTCCATCTCACCTTGTAGTGCTCCAAACAGAAGAACCCATAGCAGGATGCAAAGGTAGCAGTGAGCAATTCTGCAAATTTGCCAGAGGGGTAGAATAATAAATTCACATGCAGCTAGGAGAAGCAGATGGCAGGACCTCACCATGAGGACCAGGACTCAGGTATGTCTACCTTTATGATCTATGAGAGACAGGCATTTGTTAGCTCTTCTTAGAAAATATTCCTGGCACGGAATATTACAATCTCACTGGTTTTGCTGCAGCACAAGAGCAAAGCACAAGAGCAAAGGAGCATATAGTATAAAAATGAAACAATCGATGAACGAACCAGTCTATTTCAACCATTGTCTTGCTGGGCTCAGAAGTCAAATGCATCACAAGAAAGCTGCAGGCATTCTATTTCTTCATGTTTTCCAAGCCACTCATATGCCATGTCATGAAATGACCATCTTTCTGCCCAGTGGAAGTTTAGCAAGGATATATCAGGGGGAACAGCTGCTGAATGAAAAACAAGACAAAGATTTAGTCAAAAAGACTTCCAAGAGGCCAGTTGTATCCCAAAATCAGTATCTCTACTACGTGCAAGCAGACTGCACCACCTGTGTCTACAGTACTTTCACCTTTCTAGGCCACGACAGGGATTCTCTAAGTTCACTTCCCACCACCAGGCCTAGATTTCCAGAATTTCCAGATCCACATGTCTTGTCTTGTTAAATCACTGCCACCAAGGGCTACAGGTCATGTTGGGGGCTGGCAGCAAGGCTGTTGGTCTGGGCTTTCAGAGCTGCAACCTGTGTCAGTGAAGAGGGCTAAACCAGCAGTAAGCTCAGAAGAGACTGTGGGAGCACTGACAGAGCCCTGAGAACCAGTCTGGCTTTGAAGTCTACCTCATGCTTATGTGTCTTATTTAAGCCCAAACATTTCATACATTTCTCACCCTAAAAAATAAAAAGAAAAATAGAAGGAAGAAAATAAAGGAGAACCTTGCATAACAAACTGAGCCCAAGAGCTGGGCAGGGCTAGGAAAAGTTGCAGCACATCCTTCACCCCTGCTACTAGTGATTTTATTTAGGGGACACGCAAGCTCAACATGCAGCAGGGCTGAGGTGGAAGTCACATGAAGTCTACTTGCACACTCCAAAGGCAGCTTTTGGCATATCCAGTGCCTGCAAGGCCAGGCTAGCTACTGCCTGCTAGGAGTCTGGTTACAGGCTGGGTAACTCTTGCCCTTGACAAAATCACCCTGCAGAACTGCTGCAGGGGTCCTGATGCTGTGGCATTGCCTGCACCACAGTGATGGCTGTTCCATATCTCTCCATATGGAAAAGAAAACTCTATAGAAGCAAATTTCCCTCCTATGTTGCGAAAGCAGTTGATACTTCATTCATCACAGTGCTGGGCCCAGGCCCTCACATCAAAGGGAAGTGCTTGTGTCTGAAGTCACCACACTTGGCTCATTGCCTGCCACTGAACAGTTCATGGAAGACAAGCCACAGTGTTCAGACCAAAGTGTTTCTCATAAAAGTGGATACTCTAGCTCCTTGAGAAGGCCTTGTACTCCAAGCCTCCAAAGCAAAATTTTGTTTGAGAATGTGGTTCACCAGCGTTGCAATGAAGTGAGACATGGGAAAGTGGACAACAATGATTCAAAAATCTTAGCACCAGTCACACAGTTTCCCACTGCTGTCAACTCCAAACAACATCAATATTTTGCTGCTGGTGCTTTTTGCTGGGATGGTGGAGGACTTTGTAGCACCCATCAAGCACACAGGAGTTGCAGAGGCATGGGAACAGAAGGGCAAGTTGAGACACTGCTGACAGCCTGTCCAGAGGGTGAAGAGTCAGGTGAGGACCAGCTCTTCACTAGATCCTAGAAAGCTCAGACCATAGTTTTGCCAAATCACTTCCTGAGCCTGGGTGGGCTGACCGAGGGTAAAGGGCTATCGATGCCACCCAACTGAAGAGCCCTGAAGTGCTGAGAAGGGTGCTGGGAGATGATGAGGGCTTGGGAGAGCTGACCAGCAGAAGACTGATCCCAGACAGAAACACTCCAGAGAAACTGAGCCAAGGAGAACTCAGCCCTATGAATTCCTGGGCCTGCATGCTCTACAGGGCTGTGACATGCCAAGAAGCAGATAAAGAAATTATTTTGAGCAAATATATTTTTCTCCCATTCGCCCGCAGACAAGCACATACAGATAAAGAGAGACCTCTAGTGATGCTGGAGGGACTCTGCCTGTCCTCCCTCTCTGAGCATCCCTCACAGCCAGAAACAAATGTCTTCATTGCTCTGACTAGTGCAGTAATAGCCTTCCTCCAGAGTATGAGAAAAACACAGGCTTATCACAATAATATCTGCTCATCCATGGAGGAGGTGGAAAAGTAGTATTCAAATTCAGGGGAATGATTATACCAGACTTGTGGAGTTCAAAAAAACTGACAAAGGCATGGGCTCAGGTCTTGCCCACAACCTGCCTCTCCAGTTGCAGCTATCTGAGCTCCAGAGTGATCCTGGGATCAGGCATATGGTTCAGCATGGGGGGAATGGATTATTACCAGTGCTGGGAAATGATGTTCACCTCGGTGGCCATGTGGAACACGTGCCTGAAATTTACATTCAGACAGGAACCTCAGTGGCTGAAGCTCAGTGTGGACAGAGGCAGCAGCAAGGAACAGCAGGTCCCTGTCTGAGCCCAGCCATACCAGGAGATGTCATATCCCCCTTGCACAACCCTGACAATTGCAGCATCTTGCACTCAGCTGCAGGAAGATGTGATTTTAGTTCTTGCTGAATTCAGCCTCTAAATCCCCAGTGTCCAGATGAGAACAGGAAGGATGGTGGAGTGTGCATAAGGGCATGCTCATGATGAGCATCCCATGCCCAGCACAGGGAGAAGGCAAGCTATTCAGCTTCCCAACTCTTTGCACCAAGGGCTGGACACAGAGCCAAGAAAAGTGTTTGTTTATTCAGATATGCAACTAGTGCATAAAACCTTCCAGGTATGAGAAAGGCTTGAAAGGAAACATGAGGAAAAGAGGCAAATGCAGGGGCAGACTTGGCTATGGCAGAGGCACAGCAATTGTGCTGTACAATGTCACAAACCACACATAGACCTGTCCTGTTGCTCTCAAACCCATGGCAAGAGAAGAAATCAAGGGCTCCTGCCAGCCAGGAGAGAAGGTCTCTCTTGCTGCTCCTGCCACCTTCTCCGCAGCTCTGAGCTGCCATTACTCAGTTAGCAGCTGCTGTAGTACCTTCCTTGCACACAGCAGTCTCTCCTTTTGCCCAGCCAGCACGTAAATCAAAAAGCAGCAGCTCTTTCCCTGGGCTTTCTTTTTCTTGTGCTAGCCCAAGCCTTGGTGACCTCCCATTGAGAGGGGCAGTCATATTTTGCTGGAATGCTTTATTTTCTGTGCTGCATGAAGAGTAATTGTGGAGGGGAGGGAGAGTGTGAGCACAAGAAAGCATGTACACTGCCAGCCAGGCCGATGTCCTTCTCCCACAAGGTCATGGATCCATTTTAGCTCAAAGAATAATAATAATAAAGCCTCATAGAAGCAAGGGATTCATAAAACAAAACATGAGCTGGACATTTGGCAGCAGCTGCCCACAGAGTGGGAAGCACACATTTGAGTTTGGAGGTACAAAAGCACTCAGATTTCTGGGAGCTGGCAGGGTTTGTGATAAGGGGTCCATGTGTGTACGCAGAGAGAGCTGGCACAACCTCACTTTCTCCTTCCCTGCATACTTCATTGGTGGCAATTCAGACAGTGCAGCAGAGTGCAGAGGTGCATTCAGACTGAGGAGCACATCTGACCCAAACAAGAACAAGTGTCAGGTGGGAACTATGTGGTGAGTCCCCCCTCAGCCCTGCTGCATCCCACCACACTTCCCCACACAGCACAAATGCAGCTTTCTGACAACCGTGTGGGACACTTGCACTGAACATTTCTCTGTTTAGAGAACAAACATGAGGCACAGAACAGAACAACTTACACCTATGACAGAAGAGCCTCCTCTGTGAGAGCTCAGAAAACTTGGAGGATTTGCAAGTGTTCTGATGAAATCCCAACAGGCGTGTGAATATTTCCAAGTGATAAATAAGGCCCTGAGGGCCAAATTCAATACTTTTTGAGAAAAACAATGGCAGTACATTTCCTTTTGCTTCATATATAGTGAGCTTTAATAACAAGTAGTATTTCTATCTTGTAACAGGCATGCATGACACTTTCCTGACTGCAAAGGACATCTCTCTTGCTCATTTCAAGTGTATCAGAACAGAGACGTCTAGATCAAATGCAAAGGGAGCTGGGGTGAGTTTAGATGACCTGGTACTTTGGTGGAGTCAATTATTTAAGAAACTATGGGTTAACAAAAATGCTCAATAGGTTAGAAATTCAGGCAATGTTGAAAGATAAGATCCATTTCTTCCAGATAGGTGTTCTTACATTAAAAAGCTCTACAGTTAACTGGGGAAGTTGAGGGCAGGATCTGAGCAGTCAAGGGGAATTTCTGTGTTTACTGCTCAGGATGCAGTGGATTATACCATTGACCACTGCCCACAATAGTCTAGACTGTAAGTGGCTTCTGCCCATCAGCATCTCCAGGCTACAGGGAACAACCAAAACTGAAAGATCAAAAAGGAATGGAAACTGAGGAAATGCTTTTATAAAAGAAAATCAGCCATCCTTAGCCTACTAGAAATCTCTGAATATAATTGTGAGAAAAGAGATTATTTACCATTACTTGGACTTACAAACAAAACCTGTGATGAAGCTAAGCCAGGACAAGGTAAAAGTGACAATGAAATTCTGGCATGAGATCATAGCCAAGGATGATCCCAGCCCAGACAGTGTCCTCACCAATCAATGCATGGTCCTGCAGAACTGCAGGGGTGCTCAGAGGCAAAGCTGTGCTGGTTACAGGGCCCACCCATGGCCCTAGTGTGGCAAAGTGATGAAGCAGGCCCAGGGTTCACGCAGGGAGTCCCATCAGGAGCAGCAAGAGCTGGGGCTGAAGACACTGCTGCAGCCTAGGGCTGAGATCAGGAAATGAGGCCGAGCTAGAGAGAGGCAGAACTATAGCGCAGCTCAGGATGGTGATGAGTGGCCCAAGCTGAGCTTAAATGAAGCTCCTGGGTGTGGGTCCCAGGTGATACCAGGGCAATTAAGGTTTATTGGTGCCATCAGAACCTTGTCAGTTTTGCTTAACATTCAGACCCCCTTTACATGGGATGGGATCATACACACAAGGAGTTTATGTGCAATTTCCCTCCTCTAGCTGGCCTGAGTGACAGTCTTCCTTACAGATTTCTGTAACATCTGTCTGCCTGCAGTCATCATGGGGAACATGTGTAACATGTGTTCGCATCCCTTAGGAGAGGATTTAGCACTATCTAGGCAACAGCATTAGAAAAAAAAAAAAAAAAAAGTAAAACCCAAATTGCATTAAAAATTACATAAATGCATTGCGTTTCTATTTCTCCTAAAGAATA